TGTCCTTACTCTTGTTGAGGGTTAAGAATGTCCCACCTTGTCAAACCCTGATTGATTGAAGGACAGAGTTGATTACTTCACACTTCACACTTTGGTGAGTTGTGATCCATCTTCTGCTCTGACAGTGATGAAGCTCTTTTCTTCTTCACAAGTTACCTGTAGTGAAGCAACGATTTGTCCAGAACCACTCATCTGAACAGATGAAGCGAGGTGACGTGATCATCGTGGGTTAAAGCACAACGATAAGCTGCTGATAGATTCTCCTGAAAACTGCAGATGATCTATTTTGGTCCTTGAAAGGAAACATCCTCCTTTCTTCTGTTACTATGACTCAGCATATCTGTGTATGTAGTATTCCATCCTCAGGGCTCCTCATTACACATTCTGTGATCCAAGAATCCAGAATGTACTGTATCTGTGTCTTTTTTCCCATCGTGGAAATAGAGTCGGAGCACTCGGGGTTGTGATCCTCTGGGAGCTGACATTGGAATCACAGCTGCTGGAGCCTGAAGACGTTTCTGTAGGTAAATCAGAGCAGCAGCAGAACAGACGGTTCCGTCTCAGTCGATCTTTAATTCTCACAGAAGAACTTGGTTTCTGAGGCGACTGACCCAGAACTCAAACTAATCATCATTGTTTCATGTCTCATCGTGACTTTCAGTTCACTTCATTATTATTTTCATCTGTTAGTTTGTCGGCAGTATTACACAAAAGCTACTGGACACATTTAGTGGAGGGGACGTAACCTGAGGAAGAAGACATAACCCTTTGGTTGTTTTTTCACTTTCTTTAACATTCGCTGCTTTCAGAACACTGAACTCCTGAAATTGTCCAAGTCAGTTGCTGCGGACATTCACCAGAGTTTCTCCTGCAGCGCCCTGGAAACTCTGGATAATGTCCGAGTGAGTCCATGTGAGAAAACATCTGGAACCTTCCCAGTGAGCGAGTGGGCGTGTCTCTGAGGTTTCTGACACGTGACGGACGTTAAACTGAAGAACACAAATGTCTCAGGATGAAGAAGAGGAGCCGTACACGTAGAAGACGAAGACGTCCACTTGGAAAGACGARGAGGTTCCAGATGTTTTGGTGATGAGGGCCGACRCCGTGTGGACGAGCTGTAAACAACAACACTGAAGAATTTAGACGTTAGTCCCACCTCCTGCTGCTCTACAGGCTCCACCCCTCACCTGAATGTCCCCCACATGTTCCTGTTGTTGTGAACGAGTCGATGTCCACACAACATGTCCACACACAACATGTCCACACAACATGTCAGGACAACATTGTTCGGACAATCTCGAGTTCAAGTCTGGTCAGGTTTTTCAACCTCAGTGATTTGTCAGAAAATCGTTCTTATATCTTATTAATGAGTATGTGTACTTTAGTGTAATTACAAATAAAATCTGGATGTAGTGAATTCTTGGTTTCACAAGGAGACTCTAAAATTCTTCTCAGGCTGTTTTCAGACCAACGTCAGTGCGTCAACATTCACAGCCTCTTCAGTCAGTTCATGTGGAACTTTGCTGCAGCTCATCGTGACGTCCAGACCGGCATCGAGTCGGTCGATCAGGTGCGAGCGTCAGGGAGTTAAATCTCAGTTTTCAGTGTGAAAACAGTTTGAGTAAACACTGAGGTTGAGGAGAGCTGCAGGCGAGACACAGAGGACAGCGGGGAATGTCCAGGGGAATCCTCCAAGCTTGATTTGGCTTGAAGATCGGAGTCATCTGATCTCAGTGAATCATCAGCTGTGATGTGAACTGGAGCTGTTACTGCCGAGTCGGCAGGACGGCGGACTGACGGGAGGACGACCGGGTCAAATCCTGCAGGGAAACAAATGAGCAACACTTTCTTTTCCTCTTCAGTCGACAAAAGACATGTTTAAGTTTCCGCTTTTTAAGGTGGGGTGTCACAGGATATTGCTTCTGTTGTGACCTTCAGAAAAAAGAGAAGAAATGTTGTCTCTGATTAAATCATCAGACGCTGATCAACTGTCAGAAATAAATCAGTCAATTCTGTTGATGAAGTTTCAGACTGAAGAAGTTTTGTAAGTTGGTGTCAGCAGATCAGTTTCATTTCTTCATCAACAGTCACAGACTCAACAGACCAGCAGCCAGTCAGAGCTGTGAGTGTTGGTAAAGTACATTTCTACCATGTTCGTACAGGAAATCAAGTCTCTGGGTGCAGTTTGTTTGTTCTTATAGAGAAGGTACATCGTCTCAATCATGTCTTTTAAATCCTTTTACAACAGACCAGCAGCCGGTTTTCACACAGGGCGTGACTCCGCTGCAGAGCTGCTGCCTGAGCTTTCTGCTGCCACTGCACATGAAGACAAGAAGATCTGTGTTCTACACTCAGGACCGGGATCCTCGACAGTGCTTTTATTTTGAAACAGGTACAGGAAGTGTGGCAGATATGTATGTTTGTGTCACATATTCATATGTATATAAAATTATATATATATATATGTTTATTATTATAAAGAGACATTGAATTGGTGGTGTTTGTTTTGCTGTGATCTGACTCCTCGTCATCGTATCAACCACCGACTGTAAATAAAGACGATGGCTCGACTTCCTTCTTGGTGATGGAGGTTCGGTTTCCAGAGCATTTTTTTTCTTTGTGTCGCTGTTGCCAGGGGTGACAGACCCCCCCTCCCCCCCATGGTGGGCTGCACCCGTGGGACTGGACGACCTCTGTTCCATCCCTCCATCCATCCCTCGCTCCATTCATTCAGGACGGAGGATTGGGTCATTGAGAAAACACACCTGGGTTAATAACAGTAATGACACTGCAGCTAACAGGCTAATAATGACGGAAACACCCCCCCCTCCGTCCACTCGCCCTTTAATTAGTGACGACCTTCTGATGTCATGTAACCCCCATCCACCCCCCCCCACACATACTTCTCTATAGTTGTGAGGACACTCATTGATTTAATACATTCCCTAACTCTGACTCTGACTCTGACTCTAAACCAAGTCTTAACCCTGAAACAGTCAATTTAACTTGAGGACCAAACAAAATGTGTTGAACCAGAAGTGTCCTCATACAGGTAGACACACACACACACACACACACACACACACACACACACACACACACACACACACACTGTTAAACCATGACGATATAGAGCTGGTGTGGAACCAGGTGCTGTCAGCTCCGTCAGCTGAGTCCCGCGTGGCGGTGGTGTAACTTGGCGTTCCCTCGTGGAGGTGAGGCCGGACCAGAACCAGCAGAGGTCAAACTGTAAAGTTTAAACTCACACAACCTGTGAAGGTGAGAAACACAGAGCGACAGGTGAGTCATGAATCTGGCGCTCGGTGTTTTGGGCTTTAAATTTGGACCGGCATCCTCTGTGACGTCACCGTGGCAACCACCACAACAGAGACGCCCGTAGTAACGGCCATAGAGAGGACAACATGGCTGACTCTGATCTGGCAAACCACCGTCATGACAGGGTTTCACTTCCTGTTACACACACTCATAAAGTTCAGACACTTCATCTCTCGTCTGTTGCACTTTCATTTTGTTCTCCTGCCTCACAGCGACTCACCAATGTGACCTCACCGATGTGACCTCACCGATGTGACCTCACCGATGTGACCTCACCGATGTGACCTCACCGATGTGACCTCACTGATGTGGGCGTCGTCTACCTGTACTTGATTATGATTGGTTTGTAGACGGCGTCTGTCGTCAGTTGGGGGGGTAGTAGTTTTTTTGTTTGAACGGAGGAAATGAACGAAGCACTCTTCTGGTTGCCATGGTAACATCATTATGGTATTACTAGCAGCAGCAGCAGCTTCAGGCGCAGTACTCCACAGTACTACAGTACTACAGTACTCCACAGTACTACAGTACTACAGTACTCCAGTACTCCACAGTACTACAGTACTACAGTACTCCAGTACGCCACAGTACTCTACACTAGTTGAAATGCACCAAATGAACGTCCTCTTGGTTCAAACATCATATCATCTTCTTTTCTTCTTCTATGGTTTAATGTGTCTCTACTTCCTGTAATTGGTCCAAAAGTCCAAACTGTCCAACAAAGTGTTTTCACTGAACCATCAGAACCAGGTTCAGTTGGATCCAGACCCAGAACTCCTCTTCTGGTCTGAGCTCACAGCTGAAGTTTTCTTGGGTTTATTCAGAGCTAGTGGTTCAGTCTGAGATCAGGACTCAGTGATTTCATGTTCAGACACTGTGAAGCTTTCACTCTAAGTCCTGCGCTCACACTCAAACAGACTCTGCCTGTGTTTACATTTTTTTTCTGCTTGTGCTCAAACTCTTGCTCTCAGACATTTTGTTGCTTGGACAGATTTCCTGAGCTCCTCTCCTCTCTCTATCAGATTTGTTTCTGAAACAAGTTTCTCCAAGAAGTAGAACGAAGTCGTGAGCCAGTGAATCTCATTCTCTTTAAAACGTGTGTGCTAGTTGTTGTGTGTCTGGCCTTGTACATCTGTACTATGTCTCTGAGGGTTTAAAAGAGTCATAGAGTACCTTATTGTACTCAGTACTCGAAGTAGATTGAGTAGTTGTTGGTCATTTGCATAACTCTTCCCCCCCGATGATCATAGTAGCCAAAACGAGTGTGGTAACCGTTACATCACCTAATAGGGTTCGCCTACAGAAGAGGAGCTCTGCTGCTTTGCGTGAAGTGGAATCTTATTCTCGCTGTGAATTATTGTCCCAGTGATCGACGGGTTGAGACGCAGCTTCAGTCGGACTGAGCCGGACTGTGGAGAACACATCCCACACATGAACCTGTTTTTACAAAGTGACCTGCAGGAGGGAACGAGAGGAGAGGAGCTCCCAGGAGGTTTCATTAACAGGTAATGGGTCTGATGGTGAAATTCCAGACACACACACACACACAAAAGAAGCACGGGAAGTGATGTCACAGGAGCGGAGGCTGCTGATTGGACAGGAGATTCCCGGGCAGCTGCTATAAAACCTGATGTGAAGCCACAACAAGACAGGAACAGAGAGAAGAGACGACAGAGACGCTCCTCCTCACAGAGACTCACACTGAAGGTACACACTCATTTATACATGTTCCTGAGTGTGTGTGTGTGTGTGTGTGTTTTTGTGTGTGTGTGTGTGTGTGTGTGTGTGCAGGTGTGCACAGGTTCACACTCTTGCAGGTTGACTCTGCAAAGCCAGGTGATTCTTTTTTAAATTATTATCCCAAATATGTTTGAGAAAAGTTTTTGCAGCAAAATGTTTTCACATTTACTATTTTCATATTTAATTTGTCATTAGATTTTTACTGCGACTCATTTCAGCTGCTTCTGTTTATATTTTTCTAAACTGAACAAATCAGTTCTGCAGAAAATGATTGACACAGATTTATTCTGTGGTTAAAAAAAGATGATTCTTCTTCGGATGAAATCGTTAATGTGATGTTCTGCACGATTGTTTTTAATGGTAGTATTTTTAATTCTGGTAAATGTCAACTTTGATGTTCTCTGTTATTGCTGCTTATCTCAACAAGATGTAATAGATCTTTATTCTCTGTGGTTCAAAACAAACTATAAATCTTTTAATTTGTTAAATTTAATCACACTAAAGGTTCCTGATATTGTTTTTTTGCTGTTCAGGTGTTTTCTAATGAATCTGTGATAATGAGGCTGAATTTCAGTCGGCAGCAGGAAACAGGGTATTTTTGTGAGTGGAAGAATTCAGAGTGTGTGTGTGTGTCCTCACACGTGCATGAATGAGAGCTGCAGTAGGTCAGCATCAGCAGTGGTGTGAATGAGAAAAGTTCACAGTTCGTGTGTGTGTGTGTGTGTGTGTGTGTGTGTGTGTGTGCATGTCTGGTTGCTTATGTTTGTGTGCATGTATGTGAGCGTGCACAGCAGTCTGTGCATCGTGAAGAATGTGTGTGACTGCCTTAGCATCAGTTTGCAGGGAATAATGTGTTTCACTTCTTGTGTGTGTGTGTGTGTGTGTGTGTGTGTGTGTGTGTGTGTGTGTGTATCAGGGGGAAAGGAGGGGTATGCAGGGCCGTGCACGTAAGCGTGCGTGTATGTAACGGTCAAAAGGCGTTTATTTGTAGGGATGGAAAATGCTAAAATTAGCCGATGTTGCTGGACAATACACTTCACCCGTCAGCTGAGCTAAAAGTGTCCTGCTGTGTGTGTGTGTGTGTGTGTGTGTGTGTGTGTG